CGCTCGATAAAGGAAATCTTGAGGTATTACCAGAAAGTGACTGATTTTATTGAAAAGAAATATCCCGACAAGGTTCACATTGGCTGTATTGCTGCTCGGAGTAATGACATTTGCCTAAGTCATTTTAGAAACATTTTAAAAAGTAGGCAAAGCCAAACCTCTTTGGATAGATATTTTACCAAGCGACCTCTATCCAGTGAAAGTGCTGGTGGAAGTGAAGGAAAGAAAGCGAAAAGAAGTGAATAAAAGTTTTAAAAAATATATATAAAACAACACTAATTTTTAAAATCTTTTCTAAGTTATTTTTAAGTTATTGTTACATTATGTTATGTCAGTTAAGTTTTAGTATCATTTCCCTTTTCCCTCTCCTCCGCCACCAGTTTACACTTTCACCGTCATCTATCCTCAAAGATAAAGTGCAAATAAAACTACATTTTTTTTAATCAATTATTATTCTATTATGGTTATTTATACATTTACAACTACAAAATGCATTTTTCAGTGTTTTACTTACTATAGTTTTTTTTTTTTTAATGTACTAATTAGCTTTAATTTGAGTGTGTTTTTTGTGTTGGAACGAATTATTTGGTTTTACATGTAATTGTATGGGGGAAAATGATTCACCTTACGACATTTTCATGATATGATCTCAGTTTCGGAACAGATTAATTTCGTATACTGAAGTACCACTGTATTGCAAATATTATTTTTTTTTAGGTCGCACAGATAAGAAGACTTTATTATTTATTAAAGAAAAATAACAAACTTTACAAAAACAAAATAGAATAATAAAAAAAAATGCCAAAAAAAGCAGTCCTGTTTTCTCAGAAAATGGGATTGCTTTTTTTTAAAGTAAATATGGCCCTATTGCTTACTCTCTGTGGATTCAGTTTAAATCATTTAATGCAAGTAAAATATTTTTTTAAATCGCAATATTTTTAATTGTGTGTAAGCAATGCAAGCTGGATAAAACCTCGCCATGAGCTGGATCCAACCTGCAGGCCATAGTTTGGGGACCCCCTGCTCTCAGATTAGCTTGCAGAAGTTGTAACTGCAAATTCTGTGAGCTAATCTATTACAGACCATTCACACTCATAAATGTTCAAAGCTGATGTCCCATCTGCTCCCACAAGTGCTTGATGGTGGTTGAGTTTAATTCTAAAATTTCAGTCAGAATTAAACTCAATTGCCATAATCAAAACAATCATTAAACTGTAATAGTCAAAAGTATATATAATTATAATAATCAAAAAGACCATTATTGTGAGTTTATTGTGACTAGTCGTAAATTATAACATGCCAAAATGATGGCTACATTGAAACATCCCATCCCATTGCAATTCAGAGATGTCCATATTTAGGCATGGATTGGTTGTATAAGAATTTTCAATAGATGATTTCTCATNTGGAAACTTTTGCATACTACTGTATGTTGGCCATCCATTATGGGTGAGTTGCAGAGAGCAAACCTACCCTTCTCTTTCTTTGTGCTTGTAAGGAGAAATATTAGTTATTAAAAAAAATATGAAACCATAAATTTAGAAAGTAACAAACTTATGTTTTAAGTATAAATTAAAGTTGTTTTATTTTTCACTCCCAAACATAATGAAATTGGTTGTCTCTTCATAAAAAAATTTTTTTTTGTTAAATTTATGGTTTACATAGTATAATTTATGTTCCAATTATTGCACTTTTTTTTTAGTGCCTACACTTTGCTATGTTTTTGATACTTGTGTTTACCTATATGTCGATAAAATTACAATTTTCTAGTTTTTATTTTACAGAATCTAAATAATGTGTTGAGTTTTGTTGGTCATCAGAAAACTTTGTCATCTATCCATATTACTAAGTTTGGAGATGAAAAACAAGTATTTACGTCATCAATGGATGGTTGCCTTCGCTGTTTTAATGATCTGGTGATAAAAAATTTGCTTAATTAATTTTATAATTTTAATTAAATGTTCATAGTTCAGTTGTAACTAACTAAGAATTATTAAATATATAAAGATCCATAACTATATCAATATGCTACATTGTTATAAACACATCTGTATCTGTTATAAACTACATGTACAGTACAGTACATTATACATTATAACTATATCTTCATAATGCAGATATAGTTATAATGTATAATGCAGATGTAGTTGTAATGTATTATGCAGTTTATAATNTTTACTTCTTTAATAAGAAGTAAAACAAAAAAAATATTTGAGAATTATTTAGCTTTTTTCTTTTACATAAAACTTTTTCACTAGAATCTGTGTGTTATGAATTATTAAATTTTTCTGTTGTTATATCATGAGCTGTGTTGATACTCTCAAACAATTCTTCTATAGTTGTAACATGCTGAATCTAATTTTTCCACTTTTCTTTAGTAAGTAATTGAATGGCTTGGTTTGCTAGATTCTCAATATCACAATTTAAATGATTTATTACTTTGAGCCAAAAATCCCTTAATCTGACTCTACGTCATTTTAATGAAGTTTAACTGACAGTAATATGGACAAAGTCTTGAAATACAATTCATCAATTTGATAAATCCATCATAGGCAGAAGAAGTTAAAATATTGTACATAAAATTTACATGCATAAAAAAAGAGGCAAATAAATCATTCCTAGATATTGCAAAATCTTATCTATTGCATTAAAAGTTTTTATTACCACACAATAAATATTAATTTATATCAAGAGTTTAACATTATTTCAATAAGTTAACAATAATAATTTCATTTTTAATTTGCAAAATTTCATTTCTATAGATTTTATATAATTTTAAATTTGAACGTCACTTATGTATTTTTTCATCCAGTGTTTTTTCCTGCAATGCTGTGTAATCTGAACATTGCTATTAAAAATAACTGAAAGCATCAATTTGATTAAAATATTTTACTGAATTAAGTTATTGTTTTATTAATTTTTCTTTACTTTATTTGAAAATCATTGAATAAGAAGAAATTAATGCTAATTTATATATTGAAAAAATATTTTAGAGTGAATTCTGACAAAAGTAAATTGATACTCTGGATCCTAATAGTTTTTGATTTTATATCTCATATTGCTTCAAAATTTGTTTAAATTCTAATTAATTAGTTCTTAACTGACTGATTTCCATTGCTAATAAAATTATGCGATTAATTTTATTTTAAACCAATGTAATACAATTCTTATATACAGTACATATGTTTTTAATAACTATTTCATTTAAATATTTATTATTTCAGTGAAAAGTGTAGTAATTCTTCAAACTGTGAAACAACTAAAGAAAACTGCAAAAAGAATTTAGAAAGTAAGTTATTATAATTCAGGAATTCTATGGAATAAGGTACTCAAGTTAAATTTTGATGTTTTTGAGAATTCTCAAAAACTTTTCTTTTTCCATGAGGTTTTTTATGAAGTGAACAGTCTAAATGTTAAATATGTATGAGTAAAGTACATATAGCAAGAGGAATATATCTATATCTATAAAACCCTATTTGATGTGCATAATAAAACATTTAACTGAAAAAAGTATCTAAGTGCACTTAGGTATAGTACCTTATTCCATAGAACTCCTCAATTTTGTCTTACATTTTTTTAAGAGTTTGTAATTAACTATAAAAATTCAATTAAAAATGTTTAAAGAAATGTACAGTTTAAAAAACTTATACTAAAAGTGTCTTTAAGTGTGTATTTTTTAATAATTATCTTTAAAATACAATACAGTAAACCCATGCTTTATGATTCCTTGTTTTTACAACTGTACAAATTTTATATTATTATATTATTTATTTTTTGCTCACAATGTTGTATTATATAGTTTAGGCAGTACTTCTTAGAATAGAACCTCAGTGTATGATTCTAAAACTATGGGAAATCTGAGTTTAATTTATAATGGCTTGTTTAAAAATTTTTATTTATTTATTTTCAGAAACCATTAATGTTTAGAATCTACTATAATTTAAAAATAAATTTAAGTAAATGAGAAATTGCTATGCTGCATAATTGTATAAAATGCTTGAAATAGAAAATTTTAGTTGGTGTAAATGTTTACTTCAATTATTTATTTATCATAGTTGCTATAGTTAATGTCCTAATGAACAAGAAAGAACTTTATCCTAAATAAATCCTGAAATAAAAGCAAAAATAAAAACAACAATAATGATCACACACAAACAGGCAAAAGTACAATAAAAACAATATATAAAAATTCAAATATTCAAATGGAGTACAATAAAAATATTCAGTTTAAAGTACATTAAAAAACATTCAGTTAGATTACATTAAAGTTTTACATGTCTTTTTGAAACCAGAAAGGGATAAATAAAGTAAGTTCTTGAGGTCAGTTGTTGAAGACATTTCCTGTGTAAAAAAAAGTGTCAAGTTAGACTTAGATGACATTTTTAAGTAAAATATATGCAAAAAAAGGCATAATTTTTCACATGTACAACCACTCCTCACTTTATGATATATCTTTAATGACTGCTTGGACTTGTGACCACTCTCCCTTTAATCTTAAGTTGGTTACACATGTATTGATACCTATCAGATAACTGGTACATGTGTAGCCAGCTTTTGTCTTGTTCCTGTAGCCAGTCAGTATTCATTACAGAAATTGTTCACAATCTGCAAGACTACATATTTTGTTTATTAGTATGTACTTTATTGTGCATCCATTGAAGGATTTGACTATTAAAATATTAATCTGAATGTCGTCTTAATGAATGAACTTTAATTTTTTTTGGTACACATTATTTTTATAATTTTTACTGATTGTATTTTTGTTTTGTAATATGTAGGAGATATAAATTAAAACAAAATTATCAAGTTGGAGTTTCATTTAGTCCTTTATCTAGAAAAAATGTAAATGATTTAAGTTCGTGTTAAAAAGAAAAAGTCATTCAGATTAATATTTTAGTCATTGAATTCTTCAAAGGATGATAATGGAACAAGGTCATTGGTGCCATCATTGGAGTTGTTAGCAAAGTTATGAAGGGCTGTAGAGGATCTGGATAAGGGAAATAACTGCAAAGAAATGGAAATACTTTTAGGGGAAGGTCTGGGGTGTAGCTTTTGAGAAGAATTTCATTAGTGTGATCTGCTTTGTAAGTTTCCTTTTTTCTACATAAATTTTACAACAGCATCATAAAAGTTTATTCATTTGCCGTTCCACTTACATAAACCATTTTACCTTTGGATTTATACTCTACTTCTAATATTCAATTTTGAACACATCAGCTAACCTTTTTACAGTGAACTTCTTTAATACTTTCTTTCTTTCCTCTTCATCCTCTTCCAAGTGCTGATATGCTTCTAATTGTATTGCCCTTCCTTTGATTCTTTGTGCTTTCTCCAGGTAATCATGCCCTTTCTTTTTGCTGACATCTTTTACTATGGAATGCACAATAAAGTACAAATTTATAAACAAAATATATAGTCTTGGAGATTGTGAATGCTTTGTGTGGTAAATAATAATTGACTGCAGGATCTAGACAAAGACTATGAAAAGGGAATTCCCTGTGCTAGAGAACTGGTTATGAACAAGTAGGTCATTAAGTGAAGAATGGTTGTATATTGAAACCTAATTTACTTATGAATTAAAGATGAATTATAATTTGAATAGTTAAATGAATACATTAAGAGTAAATAATAAATATGAAACAAGTTAAGAATAACTTTTTAAAATATATCCTATATAATTTTTAAAAATTTCTTAATATTACTATATTTTCAGATCTAGGGAGTTCATACTCAAACAATGATCATTTAAGTGAAAGCAAACATTATGATTTGTGTAATGATAGCAAGTCAGTTTTATTTTCCCAGGCAAAAAATAATGAAATTGATAAATTAGAAGCACATAATTCATCAATTGTTGATATAAAAGTAAGATTTTCTTTTAAATACTTTAAATTTAAATTACTATTTTATTGATTAACTAGTTTAATATAATAAATAACTAATAAAAAGAATTATAATTGAATGTATATAAAAGTTTGTTATCAAATGATTTTGTTGTTAAACTAAAACAAAAAAGTTTATATTTTTCTAATAAAGTAAGAAATGTGATAAATGAATGTTTATTTTATAGTTTAAACTTCCAAATTTTATTATTTTCAACCTGCTATTATTAAATAGTAATTGAAATTATTTTGTTAATTTCTCCTTTTGATTTAAAATATGATAATTTTTTACTATTGCCCAATAGAAGAAATTACACTCACACTGTTGGTATAATTTATTTTTGCAAATGAATAAAATATTTTTAGTGTATATATTCATTGTTTATTTATTATTCTAAACTTAATATGTTCTATGATTATTTATCCAAACAAATTCAGTTTATTGACATTGCTTGATAAATGATCAAAGTGTCAGTTTGTAAAAAGAGACTTAAGTGTATGTCTCTATTTTATGGTTGTTTTAAAAATATCTCAAAATATTGTTATTATTATTTAACAATAAATGATTAAAATATTATTTCTGATACTTAAAATTGTAATATTTTTATAGGGAATAAATGGTATTCCACATAATATAAATAATCCAAAAGTTTCTAGCAGATGAATCTTGAGAAACTGAAGAGAAAGTTTTTATTTTTTCAGGAAATGAATTAGTCATAAGTTTCAGAAAGAAAAATCACTAAAATAAACCCAAAATTACAACTGTTAATTTTCTTCAACAGCAACAACTGTAGCCAGACAGCACTCCCTATAATTATTTGAATTATAAGATAGGCAGTTAAGCCTCCATGTTACGTTAAATTTTATCACTGGTGTGAAGTGGTCCCCAGTAGTGGGGACCACTTCACTACAGACCAATTAATTTAAAATATATAAACACATTGATAAAATGGGGACCATTTTATGAATGTGTTTATATATTTTAAATTAATTGGTCTGGAAGTGAAGATTGGATAGAGATCCTGGTTGCATAACTGATAATGCATCTGTATAGTAAGCCAATCTTTTCTTCCTGAATATTCTAAATGAAATTTATTTATTACTAATGGTTAAATTAACTAATGACAGTTTAACTGCTTAACAATTAATTAGCCATATTATAACTTGATAAGAATTTGGCTATATTGTTTGACTAATAATCCAAAAGCATGTTTATGCTTCTTTACAAGAGGTACTATACTCATTGACAGAAAAAGTTTTGCACTAAGAAGAAAATGTTTGAATCAAAAGTTTATTTGTATGGATGTTATGAGACTAATGATGATGGTAATAAATGATTACAATATCATAGCAAAGGGACAATTTCTTGTGGAAGAACAGTGCAAATTAAATTAAATGAGCATTTAGTACCTTGTAGGACTTCTTACCTAGATATATGCAGCAATATAATCAGGCATGGAGGTATACAGGCATCTACATGCTGTACAGTACTCTAATACAGGAATTCCCAAACAAGGGTAGGGCCACATTACTAATTCTAACAATAGCAGTGGGCCAAAGTAATTTAATATCACACACACACACACACATATATATATATATATATATGTAAATTTAAAAATAAAAATTTGAGAACTTCATAAAAAATTAAGAAAATACATTGAACACAAATAATATATACAGTGGTACCTCAGGATACGAACACCCCAGCATACAAAATTTTCAGGATATGCCATGAAATTTGAACATATTTTTGCTCCATGATACGAACAAAAACTCACCATACGATGTTACATTAGTTCACAGTGCCATTTTTTATTCACTTCTGTTCATTGGTCTCAGTCCGTGTGTTTGCTTCGTTGTGGAAGGATCTCGCTCGATAAAGGAAATCTTGAGGTATTATCAGAAAGTGACTGATTTTATTGAAAAGAAACACCCCGAAAAGGTTCAAATTGGCTGTATTGCTGCTCGGAGTAATGACATTTGCCTAAGTCATTTTAGAAACATTTTAAAAAGTAGGCAAAGCCAAACCTCTTTGGATAGATATTTTACCAAGTGACCTCTATCCAGTGAAAGTGCTGGTGGAAGTGAAGGAAAGAAAGCAAAAAGCAGTGAATAAAAATGTAAAAAAAATATATATATATAAAACAACACTAATTTTTAAAATCTTTTCTAAGTTATTTTTAAGTTATTGTTACATTATGTTATGTCAGTTAAGTTTTAGTATCATTTCCCTTTTCCCTCTCCTCCGCCACCAGTTTACACTTTCACCGTCATCTATCCTCAAAGATAAAGTGCAAATAAAACTACATTTTTTTTAATCAATTATTATTCTATTATGGTTATTTATACATTTACAACTACAAAATGCATTTTTCAGTGTTTTACTTACTATAGTTTTTTTTTTTTTAATGTACTAATTAGCTTTAATTTGAGTGTGTTTTTTGTGTTGGAACGAATTATTTGGTTTTACATGTAATTGTATGGGGGAAAATGATTCACCTTACGACATTTTCATGATATGATCTCAGTTTCGGAACAGATTAATTTCGTATACTGAAGTACCACTGTATTGCAAATATTATTTTTTTTTAGGTCGCACAGATAAGAAGACTTTATTATTTATTAAAGAAAAATAACAAACTTTACAAAAACAAAATAGAATAATAAAAAAAAATGCCAAAAAAAGCAGTCCTGTTTTCTCAGAAAATGGGATTGCTTTTTTTTAAAGTAAATATGGCCCTATTGCTTACTCTCTGTGGATTCAGTTTAAATCATTTAATGCAAGTAAAATATTTTTTTAAATCGCAATATTTTTAATTGTGTGTAAGCAATGCAAGCTGGATAAAACCTCGCCATGAGCTGGATCCAACCTGCAGGCCATAGTTTGGGGACCCCCTGCTCTCAGATTAGCTTGCAGAAGTTGTAACTGCAAATTCTGTGAGCTCATCTATTACAGACCATTCACACTCATAAATGTTCAAAGCTGATGTCCCATCTGCTCCCACAAGTGCTTGATGGTGGTTGAGTTTAATTCTAAAATTTCAGTCAGAATTAAACTCAATTGCCATAATCAAAACAATCATTAAACTGTAATAGTCAAAAGTATATATAATTATAATAATCAAAAAGACCATTATTGTGAGTTTATTGTGACTAGTCGTAAATTATAACATGCCAAAATGATGGCTACATTGAAACATCCCATCCCATTGCAATTCAGAGATGTCCATATTTAGGCATGGATTGGTTGTATAAGAATTTTCAATAGATGATTTCTCATCTAATAAAAAAAAATATTTTAAATTAAAGAGAAATTCTAATCTTTTTTGTAATAAAAAAAAAATTTAATTTAATCACTATATTAAAAATATATATATATATATATTTGAATAGGTACATGATGGATATTTATATACGTGTTCATCTGATAGGACAGCAAAGAAGTTTGATTTAAAAGTAATAATTTTTTATTTTAAACTATAAAATGTTATGCTTAATAATTGTTTTACTTATAAATATTAGTTATTAAAAAAAATATGAAACCATAAATTTAGAAAGTAACAAACTTATGTTTTAAGTATAAATTAAAGTTGTTTTATTTTTCACTCCCAAACATAATGAAATTGGTTGTCTCTTCATAAAAAATTTTTTTTTTGTTAAATTTATGGTTTACATAGTATAATTTATGTTCCAATTATTGCACTTTTTTTTTAGTGCCTACACTTTGCTATGTTTTTGATACTTGTGTTTACCTATATGTCGATAAAATTACAATTTTCTAGTTTTTATTTTACAGAATCTAAATAATGTGTTGAGTTTTGTTGGTCATCAGAAAACTTTGTCATCTATCCATATTACTAAGTTTGGAGATGAAAAACAAGTATTTACGTCATCAATGGATGGTTGCCTTCGCTGTTTTAATGATCTGGTGATAAAAAATTTGCTTAATTAATTTTATAATTTTAATTAAATGTTCATAGCTCAGTTGTAACTAACTAAGAATTATTAAATATATAAAGATCCACAACTATATCAATATGCTACATTGTTATAAACACATCTGTATCTGTTATAAACTACATGTACAGTACAGTACATTATACATTATAACTATATCTTCATAATGCAGATATAGTTATAATGTATAATGCAGATGTAGTTGTAATGTATTATGCAGTTTATAATGTCAAAAATAAGACGTAATTAATTTATCTATTACTTGTCTTCTAATGAGTTGTGTGTGCAAAGGTTTCTGGCCAGAAGGAAATTTCACTTTATTATAAGGTGAAATTTACCCTGTTATAGGATAAATAGGATTTAAATCTATCCATACTAAAATGAAGTAAACCCAGTGAAGTGAAAATCATAAAAACTTGGTAATAAATTTTTATTAAACTAATATTTCTTTTTTACCATTAATTTATAAGTGATTTTGCATGTGCAAAAGTTTCTGGCCATTCTCATTATGTAAACGCAATGCTTAGTCACATTCATTCAACATTTTGCTTTATTGTGCACAGCACAGGAGGATCACTCAGATTGTAAAAATGCATACACATACAATGATAAAAATGCACAAAATTGCAATTACATTTTTTTTAATTGGAAAATCTTCATTGCAAATAGCATTACTTCTACTCATGGGAATCAAGAATGAATGATACTTTTCCTGGATATCATGCTGGTTAGTGTAGTGTAATCCAAAGCCACAATGTGGTTGACCAAAGAAAACAACTGCTAAAGTAGACAAGATTGTCAAACAGAAATGTATGGCTACAGTAAGAAAACAGTAATTTGCCAGTTTAATTTGTCAACTGACAAATTACTACATTTACATTTATAAGTAAAGTGTAAATGTAGCCTCTGTTAGTCTCAGCACAGTTACAAGGCATCTACATGATATTGGACTGTTTGGCTGTGTTGAAGTCAAGAAACCTTTGATGAGTAAGAATGACTTAAATTTGGTAAAGAATACTGAAACTGGAAGACTGAAGATTGGAAGAGGGTCACTTTCATAGATGAGTCTAAGTTTAGTTTTTGGGAACAATGGAAGCCATTGTTTCCAAAGACATGTTCAACATCTAGTTGGAACCAGAAATTATCCCAGATATCAAATGCCTACAGTAAAGTGGGGAGGTGGAAATGTTATTTTGTGGAGGATGTTTTCAACCCAAGGAAATGGACCATTGGTAAATATTGATCGAATAATGAATGCTTAGAAGCACAAGGAAATTTTGCAAACAAACCTGTTGTTTGCAAAATTACCTCAAACACATGTCAAAGTTGGTGAAAGAGTGGCTTAGATTTTAAAGTGGCCATCTCACCTTAACACAATTTAGCATCTTTGGGAGGCACTTAAGCAAAAGGTTATGAAGTGGTATACATCCACCTAGAGATGCGTTGTTCCATGATTTACAAGAGGAATGATCCAAAATCACTGCTGATACAATTGCTTGACTGATTGCATTAATTCCACAGTGTTGTGAAGTAATAATGCAGAAAAGGGATTGGCTATCAAGTACTGATGTGCCAAGAATGTTTATTCTTTTACATAAAAGGAATGTGAAAGTTTTTTATGTTTGTGTTTAAACTAGTGACTGGAAACTTATGCATTAGTTTCTGTAACGCTTTCTGTTATAATAGACACAGATTGTATTTTGACAAGATATGTAGTACTTTATTATGATCACTTGCATCTTTCTTGCTATATATTTGAGTATAGTTAATTTTAACTGTTCCTCTCTGATACAGCTGGAAACTTTTGCATACTACTGTATGTTGGCCATCCATTATGGGTGAGTTGCAGAGAGCAAACCTACCCTTCTCTTTCTTTGTGCTTGTAAGGAGTTTCCTGAGTGACCATAGAGTGGAATAGGTCACTCCAATGACAAGGTATTTCAGGAGATTGGAAAGGGGTTGTCCCCAGGAGTCATGCATAGGGCCCTTCCTTTGGAATATCCTTGACATGGCACTGAGACTCGTCATGCCAGACAATGTCCAGCTGCAGGCCTATGCAGATGACCTGTTACTAGTAGTTGCACTAACAGACATGACATGGAGAGTCATGGCAATGAAATAATAGAACTGCTCATTTGTTGGGGGGCAGTCACACGAACTGCTACTATCAAGGCCTCTGGTGTAAACTAGAGGCCTTGATGATGGCCTGTACTGGAGTGTTGACATGCCAGCCAATTTAACAGATTTGGGGGAACCCCATCATAAGGGTGAACCAGCTTAAGTGTCATCATAGACCAGACTCTTTGCTGAATGCCCCATCTGAAGCACATTCGAGACAGAATGAACTTCATGATAGTGGCTGGCTAGACAGAACTACAGTTTAGAAGGTGAAGCAATCTGGACCATTTACAAAATGGTCCTGGAGCACATGATCTGCTATGCCTGTGGTATTTGATGGAAAGATTCTACCAATGTGAAGCAGAGCTGGATGCAGTTCAGAGGCCTGCTGCCCTGCATGTCACTAGAGCATACAGAACTGTGTCCACAGATGCAGCCCTGGTCTTGTCCATACTGCTGCCTTTGCCTCTGGTAGTCAGCTAGGAGGCAGCTTTCTACAGAACAACAGTGGAAGGAAAAGAGGTGAAACACTGTAATCAGATGTTCCCAGCCATAAAGCTCTCATGTCAATTAGATATATGGAACATCCACTCAAGCCGAAGGGTTGGAATTGGCTGGGATGTTGGTGAACCAACACTATTAGGTGTTGAGATCTACACCAATGGTTCAAAAGATGGCAGCCAAGTGCTGTGTACTGCATCTATAACAATGGAATTCTACTGTACAGTTCGTCAGTCAGACTGAACGAAAGGCATCCGTCTGGGAAGCCACCATCTGAATGAGCCATGAGTTCGACCTGGTGGCTCTTTTGGGAGCATCCCAGTGGATCCTACACATCTAGGGCAGGGGTGGCTAACAGTTTTTGCCCACGGGCCAGATTGGAAAGAAAACTTTTTTCACGAGCCAAACAAAATATTAAAATTAAAGAATATTCAATACAAAAATGATTCATTTAAGTAAACAAAATTTTATTATGGAATTTGTTTATGAATAAATGTAAGTAGATTAGTATTAGTACAACAAATTAACAAACAAACGAACAAAAATAAACCTAATGTGACATGTTGAAGTGCCTTGCATTGCCTATTATTTTCTTAAGATCTGGCTCTATACTTGTAGTAGCTATTCTTAACACAGCCTCCAAATGTAAATCATTCAATCTTGATCTTGTTGTACTTTTATTTAGATTCATTAAAGAAAAAGTTTGTTCACAAATATAAGTTGAGCTGAAGATTACTAAATATTTCTTGGCAAGTTTTTTAAATTTTCATATTTTTCATTATTCAATTGCTTATAAAAATTGCACAAATTTTCTTGCTCTTTGCAATATTTCTCATGTAATAATTCATCACATTGTAAATCAATTATTTCTAATTGTATATCAACACGAACGTCACCTACATGTACAGAAATTGGATTTCGGGTAATAGATAAAATTTTATCAATTTTCTTGAAGCATTCGAATTGATGCAAATAATCTGTCATTAGTGCAAGGATGTTGTTGTTAAATTCTTGAACCTTTTCTCTTGAAATATTTAGAGATACGGTCTCTAACATTAGAAAATGATCAAATTTGCATTCAGCCAGATTTCTAGAAAAAAGACTAAGCTTCATTTGAAAAGATTTTAACTTTTGTATTAAATCATGAGCATATAAATTTTTTCCCTGTAAACATACATTAAATTCATTGAAATGTGTGAAAATATCCAAAGAAAATGCTAAATCACAAATCCAATTTGGGTCTGATAATTCAGGAAAATCCACATTTTCTTTAAGCGTTAAAAATATTTTAATTTCCTCTTGAAGATCCCACACGTCTTAAAACTTTTCCCAAGCTTAACCAATAGATTCTATTGTAATATACTACATCTAAATAACTGGTATTTAGTTCTTCAAGGAGTGCAATAAATTGCCTGTGTTTTAATTCTTTTGATCGAAGGAAATTCACTAATTTCACAACTACGTTTATAACATGATCGATTTTTAAAACATTTTTGCATAATACGTGTTGATGAATAATGCAGTGGGTATAATTTTATGATTTGGATCAATTTTAGAAATTTTGTCTTTAATTCGTTTTATTAGACCAATATTTTTTCCAGTCATATTTGGTGATCCATCTGTTGTTACATTCACCAATTTTTTCCAGTAAATATTGTATTTCAAAATACATTTTTCAATCTCGGAAAAGATCTTCTCCCTTTGTTGTATTTTTTATAGGAACAATTGACAAAAGTTCTTCTGAAATTTGAAAATCTTCAGTTATAGTTCTGATAAAAATTAATAACTGAGCAGTATCCTTTACATCACAACTTTCGTCGACAGCTATGGAATAAAAATGGGCCGATTTTAAATCATTCAGTAACTGCTCATTNTAACTGCAAATTCTGTGAGCTCATCTATTACAGACCATTCACACTCATAAATGTTCAAAGCTGATGTCCCATCTGCTCCCACAAGTGCTTGATGGGTTGTTAAACTAAAACAAAAAAGTTTATATTTTTCTAATAAAGTAAGAAATGTGATAAATGAATGTTTATTTTATAGTTTAAACTTCCAAATTTTATTATTTTCAACCTGCTATTATTAAATAGTAATTGAAATTATTTTGTTAATTTCTCCTTTTGATTTAAAATATGATAATTTTTTACTATTGCCCAATAGAAGAAATTACACTCACACTGTTGGTATAATTTATTTTTGCAAATGAATAAAATATTTTTAGTGTATATATTCATTGTTTATTTATTATTCTAAACTTAATATGTTCTATGATTATTTATCCAAACAAATTCAGTTTATTGACATTGCTTGATAAATGATCAAAGTGTCAGTTTGTAAAAAGAGACTTAAGTGTATGTCTCTATTTTATGGTTGTTTTAAAAATATCTCAAAATATTGTTATTATTATTTAACAATAAATGATTAAAATATTATTTCTGATACTTAAAATTGTAATATTTTTATAGGGAATAAATGGTATTCCACATAATATAAATAATCCAAAAGTTTCTAGCAGATGAATCTTGAGAAACTGGAGAGAAAGTTTTTATTTTTTCAGGAAATGAATTAGTCATAAGTTTCAGAAAGAAAAATCACTAAAATAAACCCAAAATTACAACTGTTAATTTTCTTCAACAGCAACAACTGTAGCCAGACAGCACTCCCTATAATTATTTGAATTATAAGATAGGCAGTTAAGCCTCCATGTTACGTTAAATTTTATCACTGGTGTGAAGTGGTCCCCAGTAGTGGGGACCACTTCACCACAGACCAATTAATTTAAAATATATAAACACATTGATAAAATGGGGACCATTTTATGAATGTGTTTATATATTTTAAATTAATTGGTCTGGAAGTGAAGATTGGATAGAGATCCTGGTTGCATAACTGATAATGCATCTGTATAGTAAGCCAATCTTTTCTTCCTGAATATTCTAAATGAAATTTATTTATTACTAATGGTTAAATTAACTAATGACAGTTTAACTGCTTAACAATTAATTAGCCATATTATAACTTGATAAGAATTTGGCTATATTGTTTGACTAATAATCCAAAAGCATGTTTATGCTTCTTTACAAGAGGTACTATACTCATTGACAGAAAAAGTTTTGCACTAAGAAGAAAATGTTTGAATCAAAAGTTTATTTGTATGGATGTTATGAGACTAATGATGATGGTAATAAATGATTACAATATCATAGCAAAGGGACAATTTCTTGTGGAAGAACAGTGCAAATTAAATTAAATGAGCATTTAGTACCTTGTAGGACTTCTTACCTAGATATATGCAGCAATATAATCAGGCATGGAGGTATACAGGCATCTACATGCTGTACAGTACTCTAATACAGGAATTCCCAAACAAGGGTAGGGCCACATTACTAATTCTAACAATAGCAGTGGGCCAAAGTAATTTAATATCACACACACACACACACATATATATATATATATATATGTAAATTTAAAAATAAAAATTTGAGAACTTCATAAAAAATTAAGAAAATACATTGAACACAAATAATATATACAGTGGTACCTCAGGATACGAACACCCCAGCATACAAAATTTTCAGGATATGCCATGAAATTTGAACATATTTTTGCTCCATGATACGAACAAAAACTCACCATACGATGTTACATTAGTTCACAGTGCCATTTTTTATTCACTTCTGTTCATTGGTCTCAGTCCGTGTGTTTGCTTCGTTGTGGAAGGATCTCGCTCGATAAAGGAAATCTTGAGGTATTATCAGAAAGTGACTGATTTTATTGAAAAGAAACACCCCGAAAAGGTTCAAATTGGCTGTATTGCTGCTCGGAGTAATGACATTTGCCTAAGTCATTTTAGAAACATTTTAAAAAGTAGGCAAAGCCAAACCTCTTTGGATAGATATTTTACCAAGTGACCTCTATCCAGTGAAAGTGCTGGTGGAAGTGAAGGAAAGAAAGCAAAAAGCAGTGAATAAAAATGTAAAAAAAATATATATATATAAAACAACACTAATTTTTAAAATCTTTTCTAAGTTATTTTTAAGTTATTGTTACATTATGTTATGTCAGTTAAGTTTTAGTATCATTTCCCTTTTCCCTCTCCTCCGCCACCAGTTTACACTTTCACCGTCATCTATCCTCAAAGATAAAGTGCAAATAAAACTACATTTTTTTTAATCAATTATTATTCTATTATGGTTATTTATACATTTACAACTACAAAATGCATTTTTCAGTGTTTTACTTACTATAGTTTTTTTTTTTTTAATGTACTAATTAGCTTTAATTTGAGTGTGTTTTTTGTGTTGGAACGAATTATTTGGTTTTACATGTAATTGTATGGGGGAAAATGATTCACCTTACGACATTTTCATGATATGATCTCAGTTTCGGAACAGATTAATTTCGTATACTGAAGTACCACTGTATTGCAAATATTATTTTTTTTTAGGTCGCACAGATAAGAAGACTTTATTATTTATTAAAGAAAAATAACAAACTTTACAAAAACAAAATAGAATAATAAAAAAAAATGCCAAAAAAAGCAGTCCTGTTTTCTCAGAAAATGGGATTGCTTTTTTTTAAAGTAAATATGGCCCTATTGCTTACTCTCTGTGGATTCAGTTTAAATCATTTAATGCAAGTAAAATATTTTTTTAAATCGCAATATTTTTAATTGTGTGTAAGCAATGCAAGCTGGATAAAACCTCGCCATGAGCTGGATCCAACCTGCAGGCCATAGTTTGGGGACCCCCTGCTCTCAGATTAGCTTGCAGAAGTTGTAACTGCAAATTCTGTGAGCTCATCTATTACAGACCATTCACACTCATAAATGTTCAAAGCTGATGTCCCATCTGCTCCCACAAGTGCTTGATGGTGGTTGAGTTTAATTCTAAAATTTCAGTCAGAATTAAACTCAATTGCCATAATCAAAACAATCATTAAACTGTAATAGTCAAAAGTATATATAATTATAATAATCAAAAAGACCATTATTGTGAGTTTATTGTGACTAGTCGTAAATTATAACATGCCAAAATGATGGCTACATTGAAACATCCCATCCCATTGCAATTCAGAGATGTCCATATTTAGGCATGGATTGGTTGTATAAGAATTTTCAATAGATGATTTCTCATCTAATAAAAAAAAATATTTTAAATTAAAGAGAAATTCTAATCTTTTTTGTAATAAAAAAAAAATTTAATTTAATCACTATATTAAAAATATATATATATATATATTTGAATAGGTACATGATGGATATTTATATACGTGTTCATCTGATAGGACAGCAAAGAAGTTTGATTTAAAAGTAATAATTTTTTATTTTAAACTATAAAATGTTATGCTTAATAATTGTTTTACTTATAAATATTAGTTATTAAAAAAAATATGAAACCATAAATTTAGAAAGTAACAAACTTATGTTTTAAGTATAAATTAAAGTTGTTTTATTTTTCACTCCCAAACATAATGAAATTGGTTGTCTCTTCATAAAAAATTTTTTTTTTGTTAAATTTATGGTTTACATAGTATAATTTATGTTCCAATTATTGCACTTTTTTTTTAGTGCCTACACTTTGCTATGTTTTTGATACTTGTGTTTACCTATATGTCGATAAAATTACAATTTTCTAGTTTTTATTTTACAGAATCTAAATAATGTGTTGAGTTTTGTTGGTCATCAGAAAACTTTGTCATCTATCCATATTACTAAGTTTGGAGATGAAAAACAAGTATTTACGTCATCAATGGATGGTTGCCTTCGCTGTTTTAATGATCTGGTGATAAAAAATTTGCTTAATTAATTTTATAATTTTAATTAAATGTTCATAGCTCAGTTGTAACTAACTAAGAATTATTAAATATATAAAGATCCACAACTATATCAATATGCTACATTGTTATAAACACATCTGTATCTGTTATAAACTACATGTACAGTACAGTACATTATACATTATAACTATATCTTCATAATGCAGATATAGTTATAATGTATAATGCAGATGTAGTTGTAATGTATTATGCAGTTTATAATGTCAAAAATAAGACGTAATTAATTTATCTATTACTTGTCTTCTAATGAGTTGTGTGTGCAAAGGTTTCTGGCCAGAAGGAAATTTCACTTTATTATAAGGTGAAATTTACCCTGTTATAGGATAAATAGGATTTAAATCTATCCATACTAAAATGAAGTAAACCCAGTGAAGTGAAAATCATAAAAACTTGGTAATAAATTTTTATTAAACTAATATTTCTTTTTTACCATTAATTTATAAGTGATTTTGCATGTGCAAAAGTTTCTGGCCATTCTCATTATGTAAACGCAATGCTTAGTCACATTCATTCAACATTTTGCTTTATTGTGCACAGCACAGGAGGATCACTCAGATTGTAAAAATGCATACACATACAATGATAAAAATGCACAAAATTGCAATTACATTTTTTTTAATTGGAAAATCTTCATTGCAAATAGCATTACTTCTACTCATGGGAATCAAGAATGAATGATACTTTTCCTGGATATCATGCTGGTTAGTGTAGTGTAATCCAAAGCCACAATGTGGTTGACCAAAGAAAACAACTGCTAAAGTAGACAAGATTGTCAAACAGAAATGTATGGCTACAGTAAGAAAACAGTAATTTGCCAGTTTAATTTGTCAACTGACAAATTACTACATTTACATTTATAAGTAAAGTGTAAATGTAGCCTCTGTTAGTCTCAGCACAGTTACAAGGCATCTACATGATATTGGACTGTTTGGCTGTGTTGAAGTCAAGAAACCTTTGATGAGTAAGAATGACTTAAATTTGGTAAAGAATACTGAAACTGGAAGACTGAAGATTGGAAGAGGGTCACTTTCATAGATGAGTCTAAGTTTAGTTTTTGGGAACAATGGAAGCCATTGTTTCCAAAGACATGTTCAACATCTAGTTGGAACCAGAAATTATCCCAGATATCAAATGCCTACAGTAAAGTGGGGAGGTGGAAATGTTATTTTGTGGAGGATGTTTTCAACCCAAGGAAATGGACCATTGGTAAATATTGATCGAATAATGAATGCTTAGAAGCACAAGGAAATTTTGCAAACAAACCTGTTGTTTGCAAAATTACCTCAAACACATGTCAAAGTTGGTGAAAGAGTGGCTTAGATTTTAAAGTGGCCATCTCACCTTAACACAATTTAGCATCTTTGGGAGGCACTTAAGCAAAAGGTTATGAAGTGGTATACATCCACCTAGAGATGCGTTGTTCCATGATTTACAAGAGGAATGATCCAAAATCACTGCTGATACAATTGCTTGACTGATTGCATTAATTCCACAGTGTTGTGAAGTAATAATGCAGAAAAGGGATTGGCTATCAAGTACTGATGTGCCAAGAATGTTTATTCTTTTACATAAAAGGAATGTGAAAGTTTTTTATGTTTGTGTTTAAACTAGTGACTGGAAACTTATGCATTAGTTTCTGTAACGCTTTCTGTTATAATAGACACAGATTGTATTTTGACAAGATATGTAGTACTTTATTATGATCACTTGCATCTTTCTTGCTATATATTTGAGTATAGTTAATTTTAACTGTTCCTCTCTGATACAGCTGGAAACTTTTGCATACTACTGTATGTTGGCCATCCATTATGGGTGAGTTGCAGAGAGCAAACCTACCCTTCTCTTTCTTTGTGCTTGTAAGGAGTTTCCTGAGTGACCATAGAGTGGAATAGGTCACTCCAATGACAAGGTATTTCAGGAGATTGGAAAGGGGTTGTCCCCAGGAGTCATGCATAGGGCCCTTCCTTTGGAATATCCTTGACATGGCACTGAGACTCGTCATGCCAGACAATGTCCAGCTGCAGGCCTATGCAGATGACCTGTTACTAGTAGTTGCACTAACAGACATGACATGGAGAGTCATGGCAATGAAATAATAGAACTGCTCATTTGTTGGGGGGCAGTCACACGAACTGCTACTATCAAGGCCTCTGGTGTAAACTAGAGGCCTTGATGATGGCCTGTACTGGAGTGTTGACATGCCAGCCAATTTAACAGATTTGGGGGAACCCCATCATAAGGGTGAACCAGCTTAAGTGTCATCATAGACCAGACTCTTTGCTGAATGCCCCATCTGAAGCACATTCGAGACAGAATGAACTTCATGATAGTGGCTGGCTAGACAGAACTACAGTTTAGAAGGTGAAGCAATCTGGACCATTTACAAAATGGTCCTGGAGCACATGATCTGCTATGTCTGTGGTATTTGATGGAAAGATTCTACCAATGTGAAGCAGAGCTGGATGCAGTTCAGAGGCCTGCTGCCCTGCATGTCACTAGAGCATACAGAACTGTGTCCACAGATGCAGCCCTGGTCTTGTCCATACTGCTGCCTTTGCCTCTGGTAGTCAGCTAGGAGGCAGCTTTCTACAGAACAACAGTGGAAGGAAAAGAGGTGAAACACTGTAATCAGATGTTCCCAGCCATAAAGCTCTCATGTCAATTAGATATATGGAACATCCACTCAAGCCGAAGGGTTGGAATTGGCTGGGATGTTGGTGAACCAACACTATTAGGTGTTGAGATCTACACCAATGGTTCAAAAGATGGCAGCCAAGTGCTGTGTACTGCATCTATAACAATGGAATTCTACTGTACAGTTCGTCAGTCAGACTGAACGAAAGGCATCCGTCTGGGAAGCCACCATCTGAATGAGCCATGAGTTCGACCTGGTGGCTCTTTTGGGAGCATCCCAGTGGATCCTACACATCTAGGGCAGGGGTGGCTAACAGTTTTTGCCCACGGGCCAGATTGGAAAGAAAACTTTTTTCACGAGCCAAACAAAATATTAAAATTAAAGAATATTCAATACAAAAATGATTCATTTAAGTAAACAAAATTTTATTATGGAATTTGTTTATGAATAAATGTAAGTAGATTAGTATTAGTACAACAAATTAACAAACAAACGAACAAAAATAAACCTAATGTGACATGTTGAAGTGCCTTGCATTGCCTATTATTTTCTTAAGATCTGGCTCTATACTTGTAGTAGCTATTCTTAACACAGCCTCCAAATGTAAATCATTCAATCTTGATCTTGTTGTACTTTTATTTAGATTCATTAAAGAAAAAGTTTGTTCACAAATATAAGTTGAGCTGAAGATTACTAAATATTTCTTGGCAAGTTTTTTAAATTTTCATATTTTTCATTATTCAATTGCTTATAAAAATTGCACAAATTTTCTTGCTCTTTGCGATATTTCTCATGTAATAATTCATCACATTGTAAATCAATTATTTCTAATTGTATATCAACACGAACGTCACCTACATGTACAGAAATTGGATTTCGGGTAATAGATAAAATTTTATCAATTTTCTTGAAGCATTCGAATTGATGCAAATAATCTGTCATTAGTGCAAGGATGTTGTTGTTAAATTCTTGAACCTTTTCTCTTGAAATATTTAGAGATACGGTCTCTAACATTAGAAAATGATCAAATTTACATTCAGCCAGATTTCTAGAAAAAAGACTAAGCTTCATTTGAAAAGATTTTAACTTTTGTATTAAATCATGAGCATATAAATTTTTTCCCTGTAAACATACATTAAATTCATTGAAATGTGTGAAAATATCCAAAGAAAATGCTAAATCACAAATCTAATTTGGGTCTGATAATTCAGGAAAATCCACATTTTCTTTAAGCGTTAAAAATATTTTAATTTCCTCTTGAAGATCCCACACGTCTTAAAACTTTTCCCAAGCTTAACCAATAGATTCTATTGTAATATACTACATCTAAATAACTGGTATTTAGTTCTTCAAGGAGTGCAATAAATTGCCTGTGTTTTAATTCTTTTGATCGAAGGAAATTCACTAATTTCACAACTACGTTTATAACATGATCGATTTTTAAAACATTTTTGCATAATACGTGTTGATGAATAATGCAGTGGGTATAATTTTATGATTTGGATCAATTTTAGAAATTTTGTCTTTAATTCGTTTTATTAGACCAATATTTTTTCCAGTCATATTTGGTGATCCATCTGTTGTTACATTCACCAATTTTTTCCAGTAAATATTGTATTTCAAAATACATTTTTCAATCTCGGAAAAGATCTTCTCCCTTTGTTGTATTTTTTATAGGAACAATTGACAAAAGTTCTTCTGAAATTTGAAAATCTTCAGTTATAGTTCTGATAAAAATTAATAACTGAGCAGTATCCTTTACATCACAACTTTCGTCGACAGCTATGGAATAAAAATGGGCCGATTTTAAATCATTCAGTAACTGCTCATTTAAATTAGCACTCATATCTTCTATTCTTCGGGCAATAGTTTGTCGAGACAGACTTATATTTTCAAATTTATGTTTAGCATCAGGACACATTACATCACAAACATCCAACATGCACTTTTTTTACAAATTCTTTTTCAGCAAAAGGTTTTCCACTTTCAGCAATCCATTTTGCTACTAGAAAACTTGCTTCAGTAGTGGTTTCTTGTAATCAATTTTGCTATGTAAATACATTTTGCTGCCGGGTGAATTTTACTATGAGATCTATGGCTTGTTTTTTTCAGCCTTCTTCATTTAAATTTTGTGCATAAGTTGCATGTTTTGTTTCAAAATGTCTTCTCAAGTTGTATTCTTCTAAAATGGCTACATTTGAATTGTAAATAAGACAAATCGCTTTATTATTGTACATAGTAAAAAAATATTTCCACTTCCATTCATCATTAAATATATGGCAGTCAAAATCAATTTTTCATCTTTTGGAAGCCATTTCCAGAATGAAAAAGTTTTCTAACATACAATATTATTTTAATTAAGATATAATACTGTATAAATATCCAAACTGTAATGTATTGCAATCAATCAAAACAATATTTATTTTATAGAATGAGCTTGAAGGGGTTGTATCGCAAATAAAACAATTATTTCGTTTTACAAACAGCCCGGACACATTTCAGTCAACTGCTACAATGCCACACTTGACTACAAAATAACAAATTGCTTGGCCTTGAGTGTGCACTGGCAAACTGCGCCTCTGAGTGGGGTTTCACATAGTTGCTAAACATCAAACAATTCATATTGAGTACATATGTTGTGGGTTGTTTTTGAATAATAACAATTTCTATGGTTATAAAATTAGGCGTTTATTAACATTAATTTAAANTAAAAATAGTATTTTTCAGGCAAATAGAATAAAACTAAATTAAGAAATAATTTTAAAAAATTAAACATTTTACCTAGTTAGAAGGCCAGTACCAATCCAAGGATGCATCATACGATACATTGGTGATTTATTAAGCACGTCGTTGTTACTTAAAATTGCCTAGATATTATAAATAATAAGGCCTATATTTTTAATCATATATTTACAAATCTATATTAGGAATACATACTTACTTTTATATATTCGGTTTTATAAATTTGAACGATAAACAACTTCGAAAAGATAGCAGTAAAGATCCTCTCCTTCTCAAACAACTTACTCAGACCACATATCGTATTAAACATAGCTTCAATACATTTAATATTAGAATAAATACTAAAAACTAACTAATATTAATATTAAATAATTAATTAAACTTACCAACTTGATCGTAAACTCCTCGATTTCTAAACAAGAATCTCCAGAAGTTATACCAAATTGAAGGGAATAAAAATGCATGTAGACCATCTTTCTTCAATATTTTCAGTCGTTTCTTCCATCGAATATGTGAAATTATTGCTGCTAAAGCAATAATTAGTATCACAGTCAGGAATACATACGCCATTTTTGTATTCTTCACTGATATCAGAGTGTTATCTGTGTTGAAATTTAAACTATATCTATAAACGTAGAAGGGCGATAATATTTTAAATTTATCATTTCTTTTTTTATTCTGGCACTATCACACAGACGAGTACAAAAGTTTTAAATCTCTAATGGAATGGAATTTTTTTAAAAAATAAAGAAGTATCGCAAATCCATTCGACCGATTATTGGAAGTTAGATAGCTATTATTGAAAGATTGATCGCGGGCCACATAAATTCATTAGATGGGCCGGATCTGGCCCATGGGCCATATGTTGGCCACCCCTGATCTAGGGCATGAGCCAGTCACAGTACACTCTGACACCCAGTCTCCATTTCAGGCCTTGAGCAATGGGTACCACCAAGACCAATTGGTACTGATGATCAGAGGTGCAAGTGGGCAAGGCAAGCATGACAAGTTGACCTGAAGTGGGTCCCAAGCCACATCAGGATCCTGGGCAATGCTCGTGCCAATCACTTGGCTAAGATGGCATCCAAAGGCCCATTTGTAATGGAGAAGGTAGAACCTCTGGCAAGTTATATAAAAGGTACTCTACTGCAACAATCATTGGAACTTCAGACAGTAGGTAGGTCGACCTATGCTTTCGTGCCTGAAGTTAGCCGAACTCCAATCAGTTTTAATTGGACACTTACCCAAGTCCTTACAGGACACAGGAAGTTTTCCCATTTCAAGTCCAAATTCGGACATGGAGATGGTTGCTGCTCCTATTGGTTTTTGTGCAGCGATGTGAGGCACTATGTGTTTGAGTGCCCCTTAACAGATGACGTTCGTAGAAGGGTTAATCACATTGATTGGAAAAAGCCTGAACACCAAGTACTTCGAACACTCTCAGCAAGTAAAGGAAACTTGGAGACACTAAAGGAATTGATGGAAATTGTTTTGGGTCTCTTTGACCTATAGTCCTGTGGACACACTGGGCAGGGTCCACCTTATGGAGGGGGGACCTTGCTGACCAATAAAGTGTGAGCAATACTCGCAATGGTAGAGCATTCCAGTGCAGTACAGGCTGCACACAAAACTATATGTCAAGGTAAGAGGGTTGGACTTGAGAGTGAGGAAGGCTGGTTGCCACAGGTTGTACTGCCAGAGCCCAAGTATATAACTCGGTCTGACTTTGTTGTTCACTCACCATAATATCACCATAGATGACTGACTGCTAATGATTAAAATACTCTTAGTACTCTGTAGTGCCATTTGGCAGAACATTTAATTTAGAGGTGTAAATATGACTACTGTATATTAAATCTTAATTTACTATAAAGTGTTGGGTTTTGCTTTGTTTTTATGTATTATTTGTAAAACATGTTAAAATGATTTTTATTACAGCAACAAGTAATTTACTAAGTTATGTGAAAATATAATAATATAATTCTAAAATAAATATTTAAAAATTACAATAGCCAGTGTACTAGCAAAATGCATTTAGGGATAAATACGATGTAATAAAAGAGGTTTTTCTCTAAGAAAAAACTTTTATTTTAATTCTATTTCATTTTAATAAATGTTTTATGCCTCCGTAAGTCAGAAAAGAAGGAAAACTCAAATTTTTGTGAACTCACTCACAGTACAATTAAGTAAGATGGAAGAAAAACTTTTCACCACGAATAAAATTTAAAATATTTATATTTATAAAATGTATTTTGATCTTCAGATATTTTTGACTTAAAAATGAGAAAATATCAACACAATTCATAACAAATTAAAGCAAATAAATTTAGAATTAGGAAGTAATTACTTTTCATTGAAAAATAAAATATGATTATTGTATTTTCATGTGGATTAAAAGGCACTTCGAGAGAATATGTAGATTTAGTCTTGGAATGGATTATATGTAGATTTTAAATTGCAGTTATCAACTTATCAAACAGTGTTTTCTTTATTGAAACTACTAAGACTGTCTTCAAAATGTGTGAATATCTGTGATACAGAAATAATTTTTCATCTGCCATTGTCATTTTTCTCCTGAACTACCAGAGACATACACATTTGCTTCATCTTTAGTTTTCTTTCGAAGACAGTAGCTTCCTCTAGTTGTTTTCTATTCATTTTCTTTATGTTCAGTCTACTGTAATTGGTAGCATTAGACACTCCTATTTGAATTTTGAATACTAGAGTAGCAATTTGGTTTCATTCATAAGCAAGTTAGTCAAAGATGCAGTTTCTAAACTAACATGACTTCATTCCTGTTCATAGACATCAAAGGTGCATTTGATAATGCATGGCATCCAACTATCTTAAACAGATTTTAGATTGAAATTGTCTTCTCTATATCATAAAAAATTTGATAATGCTATTGAAAATTATATCTTTTTAATTAAAAATTAGTAAGTAATATAACAAAGTAAAATTATTGTTTAATAACACAATGTTAAAAAATTAATTTGATTCTACTAAATAAATCTTTAATTATGTATTATTGTTATTTTATTTTAGAATGGTCAATGTCTTCAAGTGGTAGAAGTCAATTCTCCCATTTTATGTGTAGCAAAAGGATGGGATAGATTATATCTAGGTTTACATTCAGGAAAAGTTTCAGTTTTCAGTTTAACAGTAAGTAAAATACATTACAAAACTGTAGTTTAATTGTTAATAATATAGAATGAAATTAAGTTTCTTTTATAAATTTCAGTTTTGAGATAAATCTTTGAGTAGAATATTAGATTTTCTATACCCTTTAAAAAAATTATAATTTTAATTTATTGCTGTATTATTGCTGATTGGTACATGTATTTTTATTTATTGCCTAGACACTAGTGCAGTAGCAGGTCAAAAATAAATAAAACAGATTGTCTCTTCTTGGAATATAACTTTTACTTTAAATATTTCAGATTTTCAGTTCATCATTAGAGATAAATTATATAAAAACAATGAAATACGCTCAAGCATTCTAAAACAGTACTTGAGTATATTAATTGAATTGAATATTTGCTCTTGGATATTGAAATTATTTCATGTACAAAATTATAATACATTAACATCTACAAACTTTACACAAATTATTAAAACTACTTATACAATTCTACTATAGAAGTAAAATAGTAAAATTGCAATTACAGTGGATCTTGATTTATGTGGAAGTTACATAAATTTGTACTCCACCTTGAGTAGTCCCAGTTAGACACATATGCAGCTTAACAATTAACAGAAAAACTTAAAATATATTTATAATGTTTTAGTTATGTTTTTACTATAATAAATAACATTTTAGTTCAGTTTTTGTGAATATATGAAGCAAAGTTTTATTATGCTGTATTGAATGCATTACTTGAAAGAAACATGTGCAAACTGAGATATACATCAAAGTGAGTAGCATTCTGTAGTGTTGATGTTCAGTTGTCAGAAGCTAGAGAAGTACAGTTTGCTACTTAAGAGTCAGATTCAATATCACTAGGATTGAATTTACCTAACCATTTACCATCTGTGAGAATACTAATGCATATATAGCAATCTCACATAAAACAAAACTGTATAATAAATAATAAAAATAAGCAATGAAATCAAAATCTCCAATATTGTTAAATGGAATATTATTATTATTATTATTATTTTTTTATACCTATCAAAATTCTTTCAGCAAAATTATTCCTATGGATTATACATGATTTTCACAATATTACCATTTATTATGTTTTTTTGGAGCTAAATAAGTGTACAGAATTTATATTATTGTAACATCTTTCTGTGATTGTTATCTGTTTATTACACTTTCATTTTTTAGTTTTTTATCTCATTTATCTATAATCTGGAAAGTCCATAAGATTGCATTTTCTTAAAATTTTAAGATTTCTACAATTTCTTTTTCATTCTGTTAAAAACAAATTCTGTTTCTGTCTCTTTGTTTAGCATGACTTTTTAAGATTTTTAAATATTCATCAAATCTTGGAAAAACCTTCAATTCAAAGTGTAAGATCCCAATTTTGATTTTTGTCTCAGGTGTCATGGAAAAATATTATGCTATTGTCTCTATAACTTTATACTTATAGAATTAGCTAAACAATGAACTTTATACACACAGGATCACATGAAAAGAGTGAATATTTACCAATATACAATGCATTGTTACATTTTAACTTGATTCATTGAAAAAATTTGACTTGTCCTGCATCTTCATTTGGATCAGATTTTATTTAAAGGTGACCTAACATTTTCTGTTAGTGCGGTAGCACCAGGGCAAATTTCAGAGGATGAGGAACACTGTTGTGAAAGTAGTACCTAAGGAGAAAAAAGATACCAAACTGTGACTATTCTAAAAGAATAAGTGAAATATATTTTTTTGGAATAGCCTTTTAGCAGCCATGACAGCAGACTCTTTTGAATAGATTCATTATGCCTTGCTGGTAAGGTACTTTCAATCAATGTAACTCTCTGTCTCTGACATAGAAAATGGTATTCCCACTATGTGCCTTTATATTTATAAAAAAAAGCCTTGCTATTGTAGTTGTTGGCTGTAATTGAGATCCACATGATGTGACATTTTCATATGAAGTTATGTCAAAAATTTCAGTTAGGTTCATAGACAGATTTATATGCCAGTATTATTTTTTAAAAAATCTTTTGAATTATTTAGATTAGATTGACAAAATTTTACATAATTATTTAACATTGTCTTCTAATGACTTACACCAAATAGCATCCTAATCAATTAATCCAAACATTAATTACACAAAAATAGCCATTTCAAGGTGGTGCAAAATTATATGCCACCTTCTATTTATTTACTGTATCGCAAACAAAAGACATATTTATACATCAATTGATTTTTGTATTTGGAATTAATTGCAAATATACCTTGTGGCATTGAAATAATTAATTTTGCAGTCTTTTAGCACTGATTTTCTGCCACACTCTTATGATGGCTAATTCCAACACTCCAACTGTTTGGAACTGTCTTCTATTTCAAACCCTATAGATTTTTGATAGGGCTTAGGTCAAAGGAGAGTGCTGGTCACTCAATTACACTGATGCAAACCAATGTTTGCTTTGAACATCACTTATAGCAACATGTATGAGATCATCATCATATTGGAATTTGTTTTGCTTTTTTGAATTTTTGCCAATAGGGAGGATATGTTCTGCTAGCACTTTTTTATATGCTATACATCTTATTCATCCTCTAATTTAGAGACAATTTCAGATTTTCCAAGCTTCCTAAAATCATACTGACCCAGGCCTTTGATATACTTAAAATCATCATGCTCTTCTTTTCTGGTGTCGTGCCAATAGTGTTGATACCCATCCGGGCCATTCAAGTTGAATGTTTTTTTTGTCACTGAAAATGATTTCTTGTCACTCAGTTGTCCAATTTATCTTTATCTTTGCCCATTTGATTCTTCCTATCTTATGGTAATCTTTCGGACATGATTGGGTATCTTTTTTGAATATTTTAGATGAGAAGATGTGCAAAGCACTCTTCTAATGGTCCATTTTGAAGCAGAATTTGGTTGGTAGTAATATCTGTATTACTAAAAGCTCATCAAATCAGTTTTTGTTGAGGCTTGAAAGTGAAGATAACCTTCCACTTCATTTCTTACAGTGATAATTGTCTGGATTCAAAGTTGGTATTTTGTAATGACATCTCTGGAGCATCAAATGGTGGCAGATATTTTTCTTATTGACTTGCCATTTGAGTGTAAACCATCAGTTTGATGTTTTACAAAGTCAGTTAACACCTTTTGTTGAGGCATAGTTAAAAGTGGGCTCAATGTTTAAGCTGCAACTTATACTTTGCTTTTTAAGTAATGAAAAATGGAGTATCCACTTACCTTCAGCATTATGCATTAAAAATTTGTATATTCTTACCATAATAATCTATTTGTGCACATCTGGTGTATAATTTTTCATCACTATGAAATGACTATTTTTGCATAACTTGTGTTTGGATTAATCGATCAGGATGATATTTAGTGTGTGTTGTTAGAAGATGACGATAAAAAGATATGTAAGATTTTGTTCATTTAATCCAAATAATTTGAAAGATTTTAAAAAATTACACTGGCATATAATTCTGCTCCGCACTGTAGGACTGGCTTCACTTACCAATGACTTTATTGACAGTGAAAATAATCATCATATGAAATGGCCAGCAAGATCTCTAGACCTAAATTTTATGGAACATGTTGAGATGCTCTATGGAGATTAGTTGCATCCTGTCAGTCTCCAAGAACAATCCAGGAATTTCAAGATGCTCTTGTTGAAGAATGGACTTTGCTCTCAACAGAGCTTATAACAATGTTATAACTCTGTGTGTGTGTGTGTAGGAGGCAACCATATGCCTTCTTAATCATTTTCTGTGCATGATCTGCTTGTATGTTAAGTTTGCTAAGACTAGGATAAAATTGGCATTAGCCATAACATACATATAGATGTACAGGTATACCTCAAGTTACGCCGTTTTGAGTTACGTTGTTCTTGATTATACATTATTTGTCAAAAAATATATGGAAACATAAAAATCAAGTTTAAGTTGACTTTGTCTGTCCGCCACAAATATTGAAGTCATAATATCACTAGAAAAGCATTAAAGCGCACAAAATCATATTAAAATATGTACATTTATGGTAAATGTTAATATAATCATAATAAATCCTAGAGAACGAAACATGAAAACATCTGTGTTTGTGTTGTCGTCTTATGTAGTGGTCTTTAAGTGCTCAATATTGGTGTTTTCCACGATAGCTCCAGTATCTATCGTTTGGCGTCATTGTCAGCACCACTCGATATTGGTAAATTAAATATAAATTAGTTTATTTTCTACTGTCGCAAGATAATTTTAATAACTGTATTTGTTATTTAATCTTACAAAATCATCTTATTTTATAATGTCTTAGAGCAAACCACATTCACAAATAAAGAGTCCACAATGTACTGTAAACATTGCCTAATTGTAAACATGTACAATTTGGTGATGTCCAGTCCTACAGTACATTTACATGTATGTACTGTATGTACATGAATTAGTAAATTTAGATTACTTTTTTCTGTACTATATTAAAAACTAAAATTTATTTGTTTGTAAGCTTAAAATAGATTCTTATAATTGTATATTATTAAAAATGCATTTATAAATAAAATACAGAACTGAGAATGGTTATTTGTGGTTTAGCCTAGTGACAAGTAAATTTGACTTGTGTCATTTTTTGACTTAAGTCACCTCTCCTGGAACCAATTACCGACATAAAGCGAGGCATACCTGTACAGGTATCCATTGCTTAATGCAGAATTTGATTAACCTGTGAAATTAATTGTGGCAATCCCTTTATATATATGTGGCAAAAGTTTGAATTAATGTGGCTTTACTGGCTGTCTTTACTTAACATATATATCGTATTTGATTAATGTGATTTTGATATACATGGTAGCATCAAGGGATTAATTAACCATGTTAATCAAAGGATACCTGTATATATTTTTAATTTTTAAGATTCTAAGTAAAAACAGAATTTTAATATTCTAATATATCATATTTTATTGATTTGAAGTAATAATAATACAGGAAATCCTTTTTAATTTGAACTTGGATAGTTTGAAATTCCATTTGTTTGTAACTGTACCTTTGTCTTAACCAGAGATATAGAGATTTAACATTAAAGAATTCGGTTAGTTCAAAATGCAGCTACTTCAAAATTCAAAGAGAAAATTCTGTCTGAACTGTGATATGAGCATTTTAACTCCTTTGTTTAAATCAAAGTGCCTCCATGCTATAAGAGAACAATAGACCAAGAACAACATTAATCTGCTCAATATGGCTTTGCTTTTACAGTAACACATTTTTGGGTGTCACCTGACACATGGACTATCTATTTTTTTCATATTTCATAAAGTACAGCTGGTTTTCAGGATTGCAAGATCGGCTACAAGTTGCAGATTGAAATATTTGTAGGGCTCTAGGCTAGTACATTAGGGTAACTTAGTACTTTTTGGGCCACTTAAAAAATAATTTGGGTTACATTTTGAGGAATTCTGCTTTATTTTTTTTATAAAATCTATCTAGCAACCTGTGAAGTTCTCACTGTACATGCTGTTTACCTGCAGTTTATTCATATTATTATTATTAATAATAATTAACAAAAGTAGCATACTGTATATGTAGCCATATTCAGTTTCCTTAATAAATTCCATCTATTACAAGGCATTTAGTATATTGTACAGATCTTTGATAATTTGAAGTCGCAATTATTTCGTCCCTTGAGTTTCAAACTAATGAGAATTTCCTGTAAAAATTATAATGTTTAATTAAAAGCATGATATCAAAATTGTCACTGTAGTTTTAATTTGAAAATTTGACATTATGCATGTATTTAAAAAATATGAATTTTTAAATTTGTTATTAATTGTTAAATAAATTGATTATTTTTATTATTATTTTATATATCTTTCAAATCTGGTTCTATTAATTATAGTATTTTTGAACACTGTTTTTCAATGAATTTATTTAGAATCATTAAATGTTTTGTTTGAAACTCAGTTAAAATTGTTTTATTTCAGACTAAAAGAATAATAGATGTTATTCATTGTGCTGAATGTGCAATAAGTTGTATTGCAACTGCTGCTGAAGGTGCACAGAAAATTCTTTGCATTGCTTCATATGATACTGCTTTGACAGTGCGGGATGCACAGTCTGGACTACTACTGAGATGTTTAGAAGGACAAATAAAACCACCTTGTTCTATTCGGATATCAGCAAACATAGTTTATACGTCCACAACTGAAAGAACACTTTTAATACATAATTTGTCCGTAAGTTTTTTATTTATTTATTTAATATAAATTTTATTGAATATATTGATTAAATTATTCAATTAAAAATATTTAAATTAATTATTAGACAGTTTAATTATGATTTAGTAATTTGTTCAAAAATTTTATAGCATTTTTTATTTTTGTCATATTGTGAGCCTGTGGATTTTTAAGGGAATCTTAAAATTAATGCTAATCAGTTTTTCTCGAAATGTAAACATCCCTGGACAAAAAATGGAGAGTCAGATCGGAGGTCAGTGGGAAAGTTGACACTTAGTTGTCAAGAGTGCACCGTCATTGTCAACAACGGACAATCATGTGACCCCTTTCCCGTGATGAACATATAAAAGCGAGAGCTATCGAAAGGAAGTTGTACTTGAAATAGTGCACATTTAGTCTCTGAGTTCCCGATCCTGCCAAGAAGACAATGGACAAGGACAATGATTCTTTCTACGGACCAATCATTGCTTACAGTTCCTCCTTGCATAGAGGTATTTTTGATAGTGATCTGAGAACTCTCTCTCCACAGCTAACGGGAATAGGCATAGCTAAGAGCTACCCTTTTTGTATATAATTTCAGTAGTCTTTAACCAGTGTCTAGCTTCCAATAATCTCCTGTAATCTAGATTTAGTCATATAATAAATTCTTGTTGCTGTCTGTTAAAAACCTATCTCCTGTCACTCCAAAACAAGGATACCTGCTGACTTGCTCAACCCCCTCGCCATTCGTGTAAAGCCATCTAAAAGACAAAGTGGGTGAGTTTTACCAACTCAACGTGTAAGTGGCAATTAGGAAACTGACCCTGTGCCCTTGTATTTTCACAATATTATGATGTGTAGAGTCAAACCACATTACCAGTAATGACACAAGCATTTTCATTCTGGGAGGTGGAGATGGAGGTGGAACATTGCTTTGATCACACATTGCTTAATATAAAACACATTGTTTCCAGCTTCTCTGAAGTCATGTGAGCCAACTCAAAGCACAGGGTGATTCAAAAGTCACAGAAATTTAAAAAAATTAATAACTCGCAAACTATTTACAGCAAGATGATGCGGTTTTCACAGAAATGCTTAGAAAGAAACAGGATTTTTTTTGTGTGTAAAAAATTTTAGTACCAAAATAGTTACATTTCTTGCCATAGATGGCACTTGATAAGATTACATAATTTATGATGTTACTAGAGCTTACACTAAGAACAATTTTATTTTTTTCTTCTTACTTTAACAAATTGACAAATGATTTTAATTTTTTACAGCACTATCTATAACAAGAAATGTAACTATTTTGGTACTAAAATTTTTATTACACATAAAAAACCCTGCTTCATTCTAAGGATTTCTGTGAAAACAGCATCATCTTGCTGTAAATAGTTTGTGAATTATTAATTTTTTAAAATTTTTGTGACTTTTGAATCACCCTGTATATGACATCAATATTATTATTATCATTGGTAATGTGGCAATATGCCATAAGAATGATGTTCACTCAAACTTGAAAAATTACACTTTCTCTTATAATCAGCACTTTGTATGCTGTGACAACATTGGATGATTAGTTGAGTCAATGAAATAACTACAAAAAATTTGGCTTTTGCCATTTGATTGTTGGTTTTTTGTGAAGTTTGCTTAATACAAAGTGCCAATTTTAAGTGTTTTCAACTCTGTATTAATGGGGTTTAATCGTATATTACTATGTTGGTCATGGATTGTGTCTTTCTTAGTAGAGTGACATTTAAAGCTTTGCTAGAACAAGGTCAATGCTTAGCTACAAATTAATTTTTATTACAAAAAAAAAATTCCAAAAGTTTTGAAGTTCTTGTCTATCATCAGAAACATTCAGAACTGCAACATAAATTTTAAATGAATAACTTCAATATAACCTAACCATTCTTACAATGAATGGAGTGATTCTGTATTTTTCTTACTTATTATTTGGAAATTTTGACTTTGTATGATTTATGAATAATAGGAAGGCATATTATCAATTATATAAAATCTGTTTATGAAGATCATAATTTTGTGACTTTTAATGTATTCACTTTTGGAAATCTGTTTACTGTATACATTGTTAGTTCATGCAAATCAAGTTAAATCCAAGTAAACACCATAGTGCACAATGGATATAACTTGTTTTGGTGTCATCTATAATATATATATATATACTTGAAAAGTTAGAAAAAAAAAATTGATAGATAATGGTTATGCAAAAATTTTTTATTATATATATTTTTTCAAATTATATTTTACAGAGTGGTAAATTACAAAAAGTTTTAAATTGGCCTTCTTCTGCAACGGGCTTACATATTATGCCAAAATTTATTTTGTCCTGTTCATTTGATGGTCTAGTTAGATGCTACACAAAAGAAGTAAGTTTCTCCTAATTGAAATTGACATAACTTGTTTTAATTTAATTATTATGAATAAATAGAATGCTACAGAATGATTATAATATCATAATAATTTTTAATAAAAGTTATAGTGATGGTGATAAGACATTAATCAAGAAAAGATATGTATTAAATAATGTTTAAATATTTACACATTTTTCTAAAAAATCTTTGTTAAAGGATTAACATTACAAAAGTAAAATTAATGTGAATAATTTGAATAGCTATTCTTTAAGATTTACATCAAATATTTTAATTTGAAATAAATATAACTAGGTATTAGATAACCTTAATATTTTTATATATTAATTTAAAGATATCTAAGAAAATGGTACACAAAGATATATTTTAATTTTGTCTTTCTGACTTAAAAGTTATTTAAAATGTACAGTAGAGCATCGATTATCTGACCCCCGATTAACCACCACATCAGTTAACCGAGCTTTCTAGTCGGCAAATTTCAAATGTCCGCTAGTGATGTGGCACTACAATATTTGGCTATGTCTTGGCTACTTTAATATTATTTTTGTTAAATTTTTGCGTTTTTTTAGCTGGCAACAATGACTCGACCATTGAAGGGAGGCCAGTATTTAAACGAGACTTAATTTTCTAATTATGAGCGGTTGTTTGTTTTGTGAGCAATAAAATAATTTAAAAATAATTTTTAACGATACAATAGCGATGATTATTATTTTAAAAAATTGTTAGGCTTAACATCGATGAAAATTCAATGTGAAGTAGGTTAACGATATATTAATTATATGGGATATACTATACTAATAATGTATTTTTTTCATTATTTTCGGTTATCCAATTTTTTCAGTTATCCGACCAACCGGAGTCCTCAATTGAGTTGGATAATCAATGCTCTACTGTATATGAATTTTACTTTAATTAATACGAAATGGATTTCTATGAATGTTTAAAATATGAAACAAATAAATCTAAATGATAATATGTTAATCTTAGTTCCAATTTCGTTTGCAAAATGACAAAGTATAACTTTCATTTATTAATATAATAAATCTTTAAAAACGTAACATTAATCAGTCAATAAAACCATTTTATCAAATTTTTTATTCAGTATGTAAAAAAGAGTTGCCATCTGTACAGTGTACAATAATGTCTATCTGATAATAGGGTTTTATTATGATAATTTCATAAATATACCTTATTCTGAAAATAACCCTGGAAGAAAACAATTTGCAATAACTATTTTTATTATACATATTGCCTTTTCATTGATATTTTTTGTCTTTATTTGCTAGTAAATTTTGAAATTTTTTAAATTGGCTACTACCATATATTCTCAATTATAAGGCACACCTTTGTCATATTTTTTGAGATCACTAACTGCTATACTTTGACCAACTGATAAAATAAAATACTCAAATTGATGTGCAAAGAAAATTCGTACAAATAAACGTTCTGTTGAAATGCCATTTTGCTTCTACTTGTACAGAATGCAATAAAATGTATTAATGTAGTACCTGTAGTTTCCATCTAGTGAACTGTCTAGAACTGAAACTGTTTTGGCATAGGGAGTCATGACCACTTGAGGAGTGGACTAAAAATTTTAGACAGTTACAAAAATTTGGAAAAACTAAGGTAGCATATGAAATAAGTATGGTATATAAAGGAATGTGTTAAATAATTGTTAATAATAATTTGCTAATGTTTGCTATGTTGAAATTGTATGAAAAAAATAAAGTTTAGCTTATGCTCATTAAGAGGTTTGTTTAGCATCATATTTTATAAGGGAGAGTTGTAAAAACTTCATTGCTAAATGGAGACTAAAAATTTTTTTGTTGTAAGAAGGGATTGCAGATAAAAAGTTCATGAGATTCTGACATAGGGCAAACCTTGTTAATATTTCTATGGAAAAAGTGCATAAGTATAAAGGATTAAGATAGATGTACAATAATTTTAGTGAAGTATGATAATTTTAAGGGGCAGATACAATGATTTTATCCTGTAAGGTTGTCAACTTTGCATTGTCTTGAGGTAGGGAAGATCATGTCTGGACAAGGGAGAACTGGAAAAGTAAGAACCCTTTTCTGTAAGAGAATCTACATACTGTAAGTGAGAAAAATTTATAATTTCACTAACATTTTTTATACTTCTACGGTATCATCTGCAAGTGCAAGAAAAGAGTCAATACAATACCAAAAGAAAATAGAACAAATTTCAGTTTTCTTAACAATTTTTTAAAATGTAGAATAAGTGAATGTCCATCTGTGCACATTCCCCATACTGTTTAGCATTACAGAAAGCCATCATATAAGCCTATCACTGGAAAATATGCATTTCATACGAGATGAACAATAAAAACATAGACATCATAAATTTCCTGTGTCAATTGTTTTCCCACCTAAGTTGTTTTTTCCTAAGTCCCGCTAAAAATAATAGATTGAGAATCCACTGTAGTATAAATGAAACAAAGAGAAACTGATATCGCACAGATGCAAATTGTTAAATGAGAACTCACAAAACTGATACGAGTCCTAGTGTTTAGTGGAAAACAAATGATCCATAGTAATATTTTTCTGGAATGAGAATGTACATGACTGAATGAGATGCTGCAAGGTTTCATGCACTTTAAAAAATGGCATGGATTTAGTGCACAATTAAGAATTACAGTAAGACCCTGCTTAACATGGGGGATATGTTCCTAGATGACAAAGTGCTAAACGAAACAGCATTAAATGAAGTCATTTTAACACAGAGAAAACAGGGAAAGGGGAACATGTGACAAAAAATGAACAAATTTTACTTTAATTTTAATTTATTTTTATATTAATTTGCATAATAATATATGTTAAATAACATATAAACATATGCATACAGAAATGTAAAGTTCATTTTTTGTGATGAAGGTCCTGACTTTTCTGAAATTCTTGTTCTTTTGCAATAAAGTCGTGAAGTTTCAATTGTCACTTTTTTCTTTCCTTAAGCAAATGTTGGTAACAAGAGATCGCATCCAAAATGCCTCATTTTGCTTTTGCACTCCTTTCAAAATCTGGATCATTCGCTACAATTTGATCAACGATTACAGTTATCTTACCAAACTTTTACTAAGGAAATCTGTAGAGAAATTCTTTGGGTTCTTTGTTTTCAGAATATCTATTTTCCAGTTCTACATGAATTCTTGTTCTGCCAGTTCTCAAAGGTCGTCGTTGGTAAGGCTCTCACCAGAAACCTGCATTAACTCCTCAATATCCTGCTCGTCTACATCTCGTAGTCTTGCTGTATCGATGAAGTCATTAATTTGGTCAATCAAATGATACAGCCATAACTTCTTCCACACTCCATTCATGCATTTATCAGTTAATTTTTCCAAGCAAAGTCGATATTTCCTATGGCATCAATGATGATATATTTTTTCCAAAATTGCACCAAACAAACATAGATTTAAGGAAAGTATAGTGCTATGATGAATTGCTACCTTTTGCTGATTGGTTTGTGTTTGGGAATAATCAATGAAATGCTGCGATAATTTGAATCAGTGTAAATTTTGAGCTTTTTTTTTTAGGCTTTGAGCTGACCACATTATATTGAATCAGTGTTAATCGAGGCAGCGTTAAGTGGGGTCTTACTGTATTTATTTTATGTATTTTCCATTATTTTTTTATTGCCAACAGCATAAACTTGAAACAAAGTATGGCAAGTCTATGTATGGTGGGTCCTATTGTAGTATCTTTTAAGAAAATTTTGCAAAATTTTTTATTACTATCGTAAAAAGAATCATTGTTATGTTGTGCTAAATTATTATGTATTTATAAATTTAAATTAAATAAATAATAAAGTAGTAAAATTATAAATTAAAATTTTTCAGAANTGTCATTTTTTGACTTAAGTCACCTCTCCTGGAACCAATTACCGACATAAAGCGAGGCATACCTGTACAGGTATCCATTGCTTAATGCAGAATTTGATTAACCTGTGAAATTAATTGTGGCAATCCCTTTATATATATGTGGCAAAAGTTTGAATTAATGTGGCTTTACTGGCTGTCTTTACTTAACATATATATCGTATTTGATTAATGTGATTTTGATATACATGGTAGCATCAAGGGATTAATTAACCATGTTAATCAAAGGATACCTGTATATATTTTTAATTTTTAAGATTCTAAGTAAAAACAGAATTTTAATATTCTAATATATCATATTTTATTGATTTGAAGTAATAATAATACAGGAAATCCTTTTTAATTTGAACTTGGATAGTTTGAAATTCCATTTGTTTGTAACTGTACCTTTGTCTTAACCAGAGATATAGAGATTTAACATTAAAGAATTCGGTTAGTTCAAAATGCAGCTACTTCAAAATTCAAAGAGAAAATTCTGTCTGAACTGTGATATGAGCATTTTAACTCCTTTGTTTAAATCAAAGTGCCTCCATGCTATAAGAGAACAATAGACCAAGAACAACATTAATCTGCTCAATATGGCTTTGCTTTTACAGTAACACATTTTTGGGTGTCACCTGACACATGGACTATCTATTTTTTTCATATTTCATAAAGTACAGCTGGTTTTCAGGATTGCAAGATCGGCTACAAGTTGCAGATTGAAATATTTGTAGGGCTCTAGGCTAGTACATTAGGGTAACTTAGTACTTTTTGGGCCACTTTAAAAATAATTTGGGTTACATTTTGAGGAATTCTGCTTTATTTTTTTTATAAAATCTATCTAGCAACCTGTGAAGTTCTCACTGTACATGCTGTTTACCTGCAGTTTATTCATATTATTATTATTAATAATAATTAACAAAAGTAGCATACTGTATATGTAGCCATATTCAGTTTCCTTAATAAATTCCATCTATTACAAGGCATTTAGTATATTGTACAGATCTTGGATAATTTGAAGTCGCAATTATTTCGTCCCTTGAGTTTCAAACTAATGAGAATTTCCTGTAAAAATTATAATGTTTAATTAAAAGCATGATATCAAAATTGTCACTGTAGTTTTAATTTGAAAATTTGACATTATGCATGTATTTAAAAAATATGAATTTTTAAATTTGTTATTAATTGTTAAATAAATTGATTATTTTTATTATTATTTTATATATCTTTCAAATCTGGTTCTATTAATTATAGTATTTTTGAACACTGTTTTTCAATGAATTTATTTAGAATCATTAAATGTTTTGTTTGAAACTCAGTTAAAATTGTTTTATTTCAGACTAAAAGAATAATAGATGTTATTCATTGTGCTGAATGTGCAATAAGTTGTATTGCAACTGCTGCTGAAGGTGCACAGAAAATTCTTTGCATTGCTTCATATGATACTGCTTTGACAGTGCGGGATGCACAGTCTGGACTACTACTGAGATGTTTAGAAGGACAAATAAAACCACCTTGTTCTATTCGGATATCAGCAAACATAGTTTATACGTCCACAACTGAAAGAACACTTTTAATACATAATTTGTCCGTAAGTTTTTTATTTATTTATTTTATCTTTTTAATTCTTTCAGTTTGGAAAATGTTATTTTAGATTTGGAAGATTAGAAGATTTAGAGTTTCATATTAAAAGTGATCATTTTGCAAGTATAAATTCCAGATTAAAAAGTTGTTCATGGAGAGGATGTGTTGAACAGTTTCCAACACAAAGTGATGAGGTAATTAATAAAATTCAATTTTTATTTTATGCATGAAACAAATTTTTAAAAATTAGATTGCATAACTTCTGATGATAAAATTGGTTTTAACTGATGTTTAAATGGCAAAATTATAATTTCAATATTACAGGTCAGGTTTATATGCACATGCATGTTTTTTTCCTTAAATGCTATGATGTTAAAACCTCAATAAAAACACAATTTGGGTCCAAGTGGATCAAATTAAGGTTGTCCAATAATACATATTTTATTTGCACTTTTAAAAATGCATGTAAAATATAGGTTTATAATTTTTACTAAATATTTTACAGATTTTGCCATTTTTAGTACATTCCGGGGTGTAGAGACAAATAAGTATTTTAGGACAAACTAAGTGCTTTACAATCTTGTTTGCTTGATTGTAAGTGCTATTTTTTTAATGGCCTACAATTGTGCTATCTTTTGAATCTTTTTTGCTTGTATACATGTGAGAAATATCATGCTACCATTCAATTACAGATGAGTGTGCAAAATTAAAATGTTTTAAATTTGAACCATCTAACTTGCATTATTCTAAAGTCCCAGAAATGAACATAAATTTCCACTCACAAAGATAAAACTTCAAATTTCCATACCTTTTCAAAGTTATAGATATAAAAATCAGACATAGAGAATATGAAATTTCTATGATGGCTGCAGCCGTGGAAATTTTATCACCTATGATATATACCAAAAAGATGTGCAAAATAGCATATTTAAGCTATGACTGCAATTTTTTATGATAACATATGTAGTACAGAGAAGAAACCATGAAGAATAAGCCAAAAAAATGCAATTTATTACTGCACATATAATACTAAATTGAACTTATTTCACACCACATCCTCACCAGTACTGATAATGAACCCTAGGGTTTCTGCTCAATTTTTGAACTTGGATCCTGATAAGTGGGAAACAGACATGGTACAAAAAGCTTTCCATATCTTCTTGAATTTACTCATAACAAATGACGTGGCAGAGCTCAGTGTGAAATTAATACAGGAATACAACAATATCTTGACAAAGGATGAAGGACAAAAGCACTTTCTGTTACAGGTAGTAAATGACTGTTCAAAGTATCTAGACATGAAAAGAGACTCTTGTAGAGCTGTGGATATACTTAGATGTTACAATTAGAAAGTCAAAGTCAATTACAAATTTCACTTTCAGTAACAAATTGAATAGTATATTAGTGGATTTCAGTGTTTCTAATGAAAACTGTTTTATTTTTGTAAGATTATTCATATTATTATATGTTGGGTTTTGCGAATTATACTTGGTTGACACTGGTGGCTGTGTACTATGTCAGACCAGAGTCAAGGCATAGTAACCAAAACAAAACAAAAATTAAATATATGTGTCGGTGTATTTGTCTGTATTCAGGAATTTCCTAACAATATGGCATGTATTCAATATAGTGGCCTTCTGTAGTGTGATGTATGTATTTCTATTCAATTGTAATGTGTCCAGGCTTTTGTATAGTTGTGTGTGGTATGACACCTGTAGAGGAGAGAACAACAGTTACAATAAGCACACTATCCATTCTCCACAAATGCCTTATTTCCTGGGTGAGTTCTGTGTACTTGCTGATTTTTTCAGTGCATGTTTTGTATATTGTGAGTGTTTGGAATGGATATGTCTACAGTCGACCCCCCTATTACGATTCCTATAAAACTACGAAAAAATATACGTATTTTGGAAATGTTGAGTCGGATTAGTGTAGAATCGATTAATTTTATGGAAGAAAACCTTTCAATCAGCCGTAGTCCGTAAACTTGACACGTGTCAGGCTGTGATTGGAACGACTTGTAAGAAATCGGATTCCTAATAAATTGGAACGTATCTATATCTTATAGGGGGGGTCGACTGTATAATGTATGTGATTTTATTGTGTTT